GGGCCATTCCGACCCGTTTTAGTGGTAAAAACAGGGAGTTGATTTTTTCCCCATTGACTTATAATGGGGAGGTCGCGAAATTGACCTGACCTTAGGTCACCGACATCAAAATTCCGAGATATGCAAATTGTAGCTACTAATGATCTAATAACATCCTGCGACTTTCAAAGGCCTCCGACATCTACTGTAGCTCTGGCACGGTGACAAAGTTGCAAAAAAGTGACTTGAGGTTGGGTCATTCAAAGTGACCTGGTGACCTGACCTTAAAAGTTAGGAGGTTCAAACTTGCACACCATGTGTAAAATTGATGAGAGAATAGTCATACCAAATTTCGCGGCGCTACGCGCCGCGGTTTTCCCGCTATCCGCGAAAAACCTCAGGGGTTAACCCCGTCGGTGCGCGGGTTAACCCTCGCCCGTAAACGGCGATCTGCCACCTTCGCCCATGCAGGGGGGGGTTGGTGCGACCCCCCCATGGCGTTTGAAAACGGAGCGTCGTAGAGCTTAGCGGAAAAGACCAACGGATTGCTCTCGCCGAGATCTCGCGATTGGTGGTATATTTTTTGGTCCTAGGTCAACATTTGACCTACTTTTGACCGGTCAAAGGTCAAATTTTCGGAAAAATAGACTTTTTTCAACTTTCCGCGGCGTTTGCGGCAAAACGGTGAGAGATATCGACTTGAAACCTTCACTATCGTGTTCCTTGATCAATTCTCTATCGTTTGGTATGTATTTCGTTTCCCTAGCTCTAAAAATGGCGCGTTGGGAGCGCCGGAAGTCGGCAAGGTCACAGTCGGCGGCAGAAATTCGAAAAATCAAAATTTAAATTTTTGAAATCTGATTGTATTTTTGGATTTGGGAGGTCCATTTGCTCCCTATAGAAGCTAATATTGCTGCATATTCCCATTGAGGTGACAAAAATTAGCAAAATAGTGGTTCGGGCGCTTTTCAAAAATAGTACCGGACGCTGTTCCTCTTGTGACGTCATAGCTCCGTGACCTGACCTGACCTGGTCAAGTTTCTTATACCATATGATAGCCAATACTTGCCCCAACATGCATGGAAAGTTTCATCACGATCCATCAACCGATGTCCGTACCACCGGCAGGAAACCTCGGGCGTTGGCACTCAGTTTGTGAAAATCTGGTCGGAGGCTGTTCCCTTTGTGACGTCATAACTCCGTGACCTGACATGACCCAGTCAAATTTTGTTATCAAAAGATGCGCAAGGTTTGCCGCATAAGGTACCCAAAATTTGGTGGCGCTGCGCGACGCCGTTTTTGCACTATTTCCGAAAAGCCTCAGGGGGGGTTGCACTGTGGCGGCCGAGACGAATCGATAAAATATGATAAAATTATATTGAGAGACGAAAATAAAGAACATGACAGTTTGAAAGTAGGCCGCACACTGAACTAAAAACAATTTCAAACATCGACGTTGACTCGGTTTTCTGAGCTAAAAAGAAATATTGTTTTTCACGCGCGGAGCAACAATGACAAGAAAATAAACATGAGTCAAATAAGGCGTGATAAAATAAGAACAAAGACCTCTAATAAACAGGAAGTAAGAACTCGCCACAACACTCCCCGCCCCAGAGCGGAGCTAGAAAGTAAGGTATAGTAAATTGCTTAACAAAATCGATCACAAATTGTCAGCCAGAATGGGCGCAGACCAGCTCTTATTAATGGCGGCACAGCGCCTGCCGCGTCGGACGGGAGCGGCGATAAAACGGCGCAGCCCGGAAACTCCGGCGACGGCGACTTGCGACTCGCTGACTTGTGTTCTGCGTTTCGCGGCGACGTATAGGTTCATGTCGTTGACGAACGCTTGGGTATGTAGGTAGGTAGGTACGAAGATAAGAAGCACCGCGGTGGAGCAGGCGGCGTGGCTCAGCGCGGCCTGGATCCACCTTGGTTAGGCCACAAGTCAGCGGAGCCGCTCTTGGGAGAAGCGAGCTTGAGGTCGGTGCGCTGGTATCAAGCTGGTATCAGCCGGTGCGGAGGGAGGCGGCGCGGCATGGGTGCGGCGCGGCCCGAAACCACCGGCGATTCTTCAGGTGATCGTTTGATAATGGTTCGTGTTGCATGAGAAAATATCGTATTTCGCTTTCGTTTCGATGATTGACACTTCCTCGTTCTTATTCTTGATGTCGCGTCGAACTTCGAAGGACAGACGTCGACGTCGAATAGATAAATAAAATCTTGAAGATCAATAATTTACTGTTATAAGATAAAGAACATCACGTCGAGGTCACCAATGTGGCGGCCGAGACGAATCGATAAAATATGATAAAATTATATTGAGAGACGAAAATAAAGAACATGACAGTTTGAAAGTAGGCCGCACACTGAACTAAAAACAATTTCAAACATCGACGTTGACTCGGTTTTCTGAGCTAAAAAGAAATATTGTTTTTCACGCGCGGAGCAACAATGACAAGAAAATAAACATGAGTCAAATAAGGCGTGATAAAATAAGAACAAAGACCTCTAATAAACAGGAAGTAAGAACTCGCCACAACACCACCCCCCCCCCCTACATGGGCGAGGGTTAAAATTGGGTATCAACGGCTTTCTGACGTGACGGGCAACACGCTCGTTTTTACCGTGAAGTTCTAGCTCGATCAGGGGCCAAAGGCGAGGGGGGTCGTACCCCCCCCCCCATGTGCCGTCGAAGGACGCAAAATGACCTGTGCCGGCGAGGGTCGGGTCGAGGTCAGGACAGTGGTCTAATCGTGCGAAGGGAGAAGAGACCTGGGATGGAACTTCCACATTAGGGAAACGAATTAGGGTTTTTTGACTACCATGAAACGTCACGGATGTAGGTATGTATGTGTTTATGATTGTTGTCCCCTATCCAAGGAATGACACTTTCTGGCGGACCTGAGGGTGTGGCTGACCCGAGACCTGTACCTTCCGCTCAGGAGGTGCGTCCCCTCATGGACCGCCTGTGCGACGAGCTGCAGGGTCTGAAGGAAGCCGTCATAACTCTGACGGAACAGCAGTCGCCGCCGGCGGCCGGCCCGCACACCCGGCCCCAGAGTTCCGCGGAGCTGCGGGACGCGGTGCTGGCCGACGCTCGCGGCATGCTGAATGAGGAGCTGCGGCAGCTGCGCCGAGAGCTGCAGGAGCTGAGCGTGAGTCAGGAGGACGGCGATTCAGGCCCAGTGGCAGGCCCATGTCACTCCACTTTTGATGACATCATAAGGGGGCCTCAGGACAATCATGGCGCGGTGCGCCACAATCGCTTCAAAGCTACTTGCCAACAGTTGCCATTTTTGAAAATATTATTTTGAAATAAAGTTACAAATAATAAAAATATTTTAACCCGCGCACCGACGGGGGTCTGCGCCAACTTAGTACCGACGGGGGGGGCGGATGACCGCCCCCCCCTGAAATCTCGAGAACGAAGCAAGATAGCGACAAGCGGTAAACGGCATCGGATACGCACGGACAAGGTCTACAATTTTTACTAAGGTCATTTTCAGGTCAGGTCAAAGATGACGTCACAGGGGTCGAAAAAGTCAAAATGGCGGCTCTAGATATGGAGAGGGTTTTTCTCGAATAACTTTCGAAGTAGTCAAGATAGGAACAAACTAAGGGCATCATCGTGATCCCCTCGTCAATCCACATCGAATGATATATATGTTGACCTCGAAAGGTCAAGGTCAAAGGTTGACCTCAGGTCACGTGACCTCGAGGTCATCATGTATATCATTCGATGCGTCTTGACGAGCTGAACACAATGAGACCATCCGCGCGGCTGTATCTTGTTCCTGTAAGGAGTTATTTACAAAAAACCTTTGGTGACCTTTGATGACGTCACATGACCTTACAGCTGCCCAACAGCAAAACAGACCTCAAGGTAGTGAAGGTTGATCGTATGTGAAGTCATGTATGGTATATGGGGCCATTCCGACCCGTTTTAGTGGTAAAAACAGGGAGTTGATGTTTCCCCCATTGACTTATAATGGGGAGGTCGCGAAATTGACCTGACCTTAGGTCACCGATATCAAAATTCCGAGATATACAAATTGTAGCTACTAATGACCTAATAACATCCTGCGACTTTCAAAGGCCTCCGACATCTACTGTAGCTCTGGCACGGTGACAAAGTTGCAAAAAAGTGACTTGAGGTTGGGTCATTCAAAGTGACCTGGTGACCTGACCTTAAAAGTTAGGAGGTTTAAACTTGCACACCATGTGTAAAATTGATGAGGGAATAGTCATACCAAATTTCGCGGCGCTACGCGCCGCGGTTTTCCCGCTATCCGCGAAAAACCTCAGGGGGGGGCGGATATCCGCCCCCCCCCGTCGGTGCGCGGGTTAATAAAGTTGTTGAATAAATCGATACCATATCTAAAAACTTACTGAAAAATTCTTCATAGTAAAAATATAACCTCGATGCGTTTTTACGTTGATTTCCTGCAACTGCAGAGGATTTTTAAATCGTCTATATCTTCAAAACCGGTCATTTCTTAGCATATTGCTGCCCTTTTTTATCGCTAGAAAATTAGTTGGACTTTCCATTGACATCAACGGATGAGCGATATGTGTACAGTGTCACCAACAATTTTCAAATTAGATTAGTCATTTTTACGTTGTAAAGGAATGGAGTACCCCTTGCGAGCATCAGGGGTGACGTCACTCAGGATCTGTCTCTTATTGGTCGGCGGGGGAGTGACTGTACCTTCTATATGTAGATGGCCTTGCCCAGTTGGACGGAGCGCTGCTGGTCCGTCAAACCCAGTGGTGGGTGGCCTGTGCAGTCACAACAATGTCCGATCGCATCATCAATGGCAGAGACCTTCACTGTGCTGACCATGTTTATCTCACTGATCCTTGTTGATTTAACCATCGCCGGTATGTTGTGTTGGATCTCATCGCATGGCGAGGAGCGATAAGTGTTGTGCATTTTCTGGTGTGTCGTGCTCCTAGGTAGTGTCCCGTTGTCACTGAAGTCTCCACCTCTGACACTCCTTCTGCCCCTTCGGCAGCTGGAGGTGGCCCAGATGAGGAACCCAAAGCAGCTGGAGGTGGACCAGATGAAGAACCAGAAGCAGCTGGAGGCGCAGGCGGCACCACAGCTGCAGCAGCTCCCCATACCGCAAGAGCTGTTTTCCTGCGGTGGCAAGGCCCCCGCCACGACGGCTTCCACCATCTTCGGGTCGGGGTTTAGTAAGACGACGCCCTCTACCGGGACGGTCTCCAGCACGAACGGCGGTCTCAGGTTCGGCCAGGCGCCGTCGGCCTGGACTGGCGGTACCACGACTGGCGCCTCTGCTGCCGCCTCCACTGGCTTCAGCTTTGGACCGACCACAGCGCCACCTGCTCAGCCGAGCACGCCGAGCTTCTCGTTCCGTCCGCCGACCGCCGAGGGCGCCACCAGCACACCGGCCAAGGTCAGTCAGTCAGAACACAAACCGTCAGCCAGCTACGAACGATGCCCCCAGGGCTCACTACCTTTCCCGAGGCACGTGGCTAATAGTTTCTCGCCCCACTCTGTCCATCACTATTGTCTGCCCAGATAAAAGTACCACACTCTCCATTTCGTCGCCAGTTCGCCTGCTAACCTTGCTCATGGAATGTTCAGCTTATAGTGACTATATCTGCCTCCATCGATATCCGCACCGTTCCATCGTTTCCATGCTCAGGATAGTCAAATCCTTCTCCTCCACGCCGCAACCCCCTGATCCGGGCTGGACGGGCAACTTTATCCCATGCGGGATTGCCCGTAAGCCGAGCACCGCCCGTAGCCGGGTGCGGTGAGTGCTGGGGAGCCCCAACTTCCCCAGCAGGGCGTGGAAATCCAGGACCCCCAGCGGAGCGCGGACTTATAATCGGGTATCATTTACTGCGTATGGTAACAGTGCACACGCTCGTTTTTTCCGCAACGCTCTTGAGCTCCATCAGGGGCATAACGGCGAGGGGGTTCGTACCCCCCCTCCATCGGCCGGCACGTGCGAGTATGTAGAAAATATAAAAGGTCCAGCGAGGGCTAAGTGTTCCCTTGTCACCATGTCATTGTTCCTTTATTTTATAATGTATTTTCATGTGTTCAACTACTGATGTGTTCAACTGGATGTCTGAACTAAAGCCGCCCCTGCACCGTTTTCCATCGCAGGCAAGGGGCGAGAACACCACGGAGGACGGACCTGTCAGCTCGACCTCTGGCTCTGGCGCCGCGGTCTCCAATACCACCACCTCCAGCGCCGCGACCTCCGCCCCCGCCGCTGCACCGGCCGCCGCCACTGAATCCGGCTTCTCGTTATATAACGCCGAATATCTCGTTATATATAAGCCGAATATCTCCGGCTTCTCGTTCGGTAGCAGGTTCGGTGGTACACCGGCTGCCCAGAGCACGGCTACGGACGGCCCCAGCACCAGCTTCACGTTCCGACTGCCGGCCACCGCCAGCGCCACAGCGGCAGCAACAGACTCTGGTAAGTTGGCGAAAGGCATAATCATCGCGCACAGCTATCAGGAGACCCACGCTAGGCTGATACTATAGCATTGCTTAAGAAATGGCAGGTAGTCATGCATGAGACGTTCAGGCGTACTTAGTACTGTCGTGTAAATAGTGGGATCAAATAATGGTCTGACGATGTCTTGTCATCGGTGTGGTGGGGCGATGAGCTTACAAGAAATGTGTTGCCGTTTCAATCATTACACGACGTCTAATGGCTTTCGCTATCCGTTAACACCGCCGTTCTTCTCTCTTACCACGACAGACCCGGATGAGGTGACTGTGGTGGGCGAGGTTCAGCCGACCGAGGAGCAGCGCGCTGCCGCCGCCCGGCTCCAGCTGCCGGCCGGCTTCTACCTGTACGAACAGCGACCGCCGTGCCGGGGATGCCGCGGCTGCTGGGACCAGATGCCCGGAGAGGTAAGAGTCAACAGTCAGCTGAGGCAACAGTCAGAACGAGTGTTTTAGTGAGATGTCATTTTGTATGCATGCACGTTTTCATCTAGATTAATCGCTGCTCCAAACTCAAGTGCGGTTGGCATTTTTCCTCGATTCTTATGATATTTTTATGTGTTCCACTGGATGTAGAACCTGCACTAAAATAACCCGTTCCGTTTTCTATCGCAGGCAAGGGGCGAGAACACCACGGAGGAGGGGCCTGTCAGCTCGACCTCTGGCTCTGGCGCCGCGGTCTCCAGTACCACCACCCCCAGCGTCGTGACCTCCGCCCCCGCCGCCGGCGCCGGAGCGGCCACCCCCAACAGCTCCTTCCATTTCAAGGCTGCCCCGTTTTGGTTTGCGTTCGGCGGCGACCAGAGTAAGGTCGTCGAGGCGACTCCCAAGGCCACGTTCGAGTTCGGCGTCACGTCCGCAGCCTCCTCGCCGTTCAAATTCTCATTCGGCGGCGACGCCGACAAGTCTAGATCCTCGATCTTCGGAGGGGCGGCGGCAGCGGACACAAAGACCACGTCAATATTTGGAGGTTCATCGGGTAACAAGACAACTTCGAACTTCGGAGGAGCGTCGTCAACTGAAACCAAACCTGCGTCTATTTTCGGAGGAACGCCCTCTTCCGAAACCAAAACCACGTCCATCTTTGGTACCCCATCGGTGTTCGGAGAAAAGGGAACTGACAAAGCCGTATCTCTCTTCGGTGGGGCGACCACCGGCGACAAGACATCCAAAGAAGACCAGATATTCGGCGGCTCCGGGACTGACTCCAAGCCCGCCTCTCTGTTCGGCGGCTTTGGTGTGGCCTCTGGTGCCCAGTCGTCTCCGTTCGGCTCCGGCTCATCAGTGTTCGGTGGATGGCCGTCGTTCGGTAGCGCCGCGTCCAAGCCGGCCTCCAGCGAGAGCGGCGCCGTGGCCAAGCCACCTACTCCGGCCAACTCGTCCGCCCCCAAGGCGCCTGAGCCGATCAGCTCCGGCTCGGCCCCGTCGGCACCACCGGCCGCTGCTACTGGATCGACTGGTGCCGGCGCTGCGGTCACCCCGACCCCGTCAGCACCACCGGCCGCCGACACTGGATCGACTGGTGCCGGCGCTGCGGCCACCCCGGCCCCGTCGGCACCACCGGCCGCCGCCACTGGATCGACTGGTGCCGGCACTGCGTCCACCCCGGCCCCGACCAATGGGTGAGGCTCCGAACTAGGGATGTCTATTTTAGAAAACATATGTCCAATGTCTGTCCAATGTCCAATGCTTACGTCGACCGTTTGTCCAAAAATGTCCAAGCCAGCCATTTGTCCAAAGATGTCCGACATCTACGTAGTTTTAACTCAACACCGTTATTTAACCCTCGCCCATATAGGGGGGGGGGGGGGGTGCACCCCCCTGAGGTTTTTCTTAGCTACACGCCGAACCGTTTCAGATAGCCTGCTCAAATTTTCAGTACCCTTTGGGGCATCCTTTGCGCAACTTTTGTTTTTTGTCAAGGTCATGTCAGGTCACGGAGTTATGATGTCATAAAGGGAACAACCTCCAGCCAGATTTACGCTAAATTGGAGATTGCTTCACATTGGTATAAATGCCGACTGACCTGACACACTGATGGATTGTTTTAGAATCACAACTGGCTGATTTGACATTGGCACAATGTCCGTTGACATTTTGAAGGTTACTAAAGGTCAAGGTAAGGTCAGTGACCTCGGTTGACCTGTAATGACTTCTTGCACTTGTATGCCTTTTCGGGGTATTTTGATGCCCTGAATTCGAACTTGCTATCAATTTCAGGCATCGTCGGATGTTTCTTGTAGTTCATTTGGGGTCAGGGTCAGGTCAGTGACGTCACACGCCTGACGTGACCCAATGCACAAATGACCTTGCAGACTTCCGACGCTCCCAACGCATCATTTTTAGAGTTATGACATCGAAATACACACCAAACGATAGAAAATTGATCGAGGATCACGATAGTGAAGTTTTCAAGTCGATACCTCTTACAGTTTTGCCGCGATCGGCGCGAAAATCTGAAAAAGTTAGATTTTTTCCGAAAAATTGACCTTTGACCGGTCATAAGTAGGTCAAATATTAACCTAGGACCAGAAAATATACCACCAATCGCGAGATCTCGTTGAGAGCAACCCGTTGGTCTTTTCCGCTAAGCTCTATGACGCTCCGTTTTCAAACGCCAGAGGGGGTCGCACCCCTCCCCCTGCATGGGCGAAGGTGGTAAAACACCGTTTACGGGCGAGGGTTAATTTGCAATTAATGTATCGTTACCAGCTCAAAAGTGGTAATCATATCGAAAGCTGAGCTTTCTAATAGCCAATCAATGTTAAACACGATTACTTTATAAAAATGTTGAGGTGTAGCAAGCGATTGTCCAAAGTTGTTCAAAGCCTGCTGTCATTATCCAACCGAATTTCGAATTGGACATTGGATAAAATCGGAATTCCAAAGACTTAACCCGGCAGGCGGTGGGCCTACCAGCCACCTTCCGCGCGGTGGGGGGGGGGGCACTTTTTTGCCCCCCCGTATCTCCGAAACTACTGGACGGATCCGGAAAATTCAAACGGCGTTCGATAGCCCTGTCAAATTTGTCGAGGGAAACCAAGTTTCATTGACCTCGGGGTCACCGATGACGTCACAGGTCAGGTCAAAGATAAAATGTTTCACCGTTCACGGGGCTTCTAGGGAAAGCGCTATAACACCGAGTAAAACGCATTTTGTCGAAAATCAGCGATAAGGCGCCAGTTGTCTAGTACATATGTTGCTATTAGAGGTCACTGGTCATACCAGGTCAGGTCACAGGTCAGGTCACCAAAGGTCACCAAGGGTCACCACATGAGCCCAACTTTACTAAGGTTATGCGATGCATGTTTTATGGCCAGTTTTTCATTTCCAACTCAATGGTGTTGGTTATAAGACCATCAGGTACGGTTTAGGTCACTTTCTGGTGGAGGTCAGGTCAAGGTCAGGTCAAAAAAGGTCAAATTTCAAAGTTGATATTTTTGCACAAAATGGGTATCGATTCGATGCAGCTCGTCACGGGGAGTCTAATGGTGGTCTTTGTTTTGCGCTACGAGGTCTAGAATTGCTAAAAATTGAGTTTGAAAATTTGACGTCATCAATTTTGAACAGTTTTTTCGCTATAACTTGGCCAAAAAAGAGGTATCGATCTCAAATTTGGTATGTAGATAGAAAGCGGTAGGGGTTATCACATATATTCCGTTTTTTTTCGAAATTCAAAAAACTTTTTGGATTTTTTGGCTATTATATTCAAAAAATCTATTTTTTGATTTTTGGGGGTCAAAATCCAAAAATTGCGAAAAACCGAAATAGCAGTTTTGTAGCTCTTTTAATTCCACACCTTTTATGTCTAAAACATTTTTCTGTATCTCTAAAGCTGTAGGCCTGACAGCTCTTCCCGCGAAACCTTTTTTTGGGTCGAAAATGGCAAAAATGACGTCACTCTGACGTCATTAGCGGCCAACCTATCGCAGCCTTTGGAAAAAATTTTGGTCACCATGTGCGCTAGCTGCTCCCGGGAGGGTACTGAAAGTTTGGTGACGATCGGCGCAGCGGTTCTCGAGATATATCGAAAAAACTAAAGGGGGGGGGGGGCAAAAAATTGCCCCCCCACCGCCTGGAAGGTTAAGTTCCGATTGACGCCGCTACTCCGAACGGAGCGGGATCGTAACTCTGATGGCCGGGATTGGTAGTAATCTTAGTACGAGTATGGCGGCGAAAACCACCGTCGGGTAAGGAATGTACTGTGCTGGGCGTTTGCAGCGCTAGCATTAGTCAGTAACTGCTAATAAATAACTCCATACCCTTTTGCATGATGATAGAGAAGACTGTTAACCATCGCCCGCACATGGGGGTCCCCCCCAAGGTAGTCTTTCTGCTCTGCACTCAATATCTTTAGAGCTAGAAGCCTGATTTTTTATAGCTGCTCCTCTATCCTTTCTTGATGTCCACTGAAAATTTCAACTTTCAGGTTTCTGTTTTTTTTTTTCGGAGATATGACTTTCTTTTTCAGGTCATGTCATGACCCAAATGACCAATTATTAACATCTTGCGTTGGCTATGGGCCTTATGAGCTTTTGACACCTTGCTTTCGGCCTTTTTTTGCCAGTCTTACCTCCCACCTATCATGGAACATGTTGTTCGACGATGTACTGATGTCACGGTCAGGGTCTAGGTCAACCTAGGTCATCTAAAATAATTGCGTTAGGCAAGTTGAATTTGCTTTTCGTGAATTTTGTTGACTGTATTTTTGGTAAAAGCTTCTCAGATCATGATTTAATGTAGGTAATATGGACACATAAACAATCGGTGCACACATCAGTATACACACAGACACACACAGACATACAAACACTAGCTGGACCTGAAATGACCTCAGCCGCAAAAACCTGGTCGGGAAGTGTGACAAAGAGGTTCTAGCTGGCTTGGCACCAGAAAACGGCATCGTCATCGGTATATGATAAGTAGCGCACTTAATATCCAACGGTGACCCAAAACAGGAACATTTTTTAGTTTAACCTGACCTGGAAGGTCAATGACTGACCTGAGAAGGTAAAACTGGGTATCATTGGATTCGTCTCTTCCCAAAGAATATTTTTGGTCCTTACCGCGAAGCTCTATCTTCAACAGGAACGAAATGGCGCGGAGGGGGGTGGCAACCCCCCCCCCCATGTGCGTTCTAGGATGGGAAAATGGCATGTGCGGGCGAGGGTTAAATTAACCCTCGCCCATATAGTGCGGGGAGGGGGAGGCGTCGAACGGACCCCTTCTGCCATCGGTTTTTCGCGAATAACTCGCGTAAAAAGCAGCCGATCGCAACGAAACTTTCAGTACCCTCGCGTTAACCCGCAAGTTGCTGGGGGTGGGGGGGGGGGGGGCGTTAAACGCCCCCACTTTTTTCGCCGCGCTACAGCATAAACACAATTTGGGTACCTGTAGGAAATTGATTGAAGTTTCCTGTCACAAAGTTTCAAAAAAATCGGCCGAAGCTTGAGATATCGAGGTTTTAGTGACGTAATAATTTCTGAGTTTTCGACCAAAAACGGCATATGTTCAAAAAACATCAAATCACAGATAAGACATACAGACATGCCGTAAACGCCATGAGACTGCCAATACCATGAACAATCAAATGGCTATCTTCGATTTTTGATCATCGTTCCGCATTTTCCAAAATCTTGAACTGAATCTTGGCAATTTATCGTGACTAGACTACTTCACGACCATGATACATGCATTTCTTCAATTTAACTTTTTGAACCAAACACGTACACATATGATAAAATGAATGCCACCATCGTGTTCTACGTCCAAAATTACCCCTTAAACATGTGTCACAGGCTGCGAATATCAGTTTTGATTTTCGGGGATATGTGCCTACCTGGTTGACCTGACCTTGACCCTGACCTATGCTTGACTGACTCCTACACGGATCTGACACTCTTTTAGGCCTTATATAAAGGATTGTGCACCGTTGTGACAGAAATTATGACGAGAGGCGCCCATTGCGAGGTTCTGAAGTCCATGCTACTGAAAACCCGATTTCAGGGGTTTGACCTGACCTTGACCCGACCTGTGAACTCAAAATTCAACTTAAAAGTACTCATCTGAAGCGTCTCGTCGCGTTCTTTCGTTTTCCGCCTCGTGCGTTTCGCTGCGCCTATTGGTTCTCGAGTTATCGCCCCCCCCCCCAGCAAACGGTGGATGGCAAAATAGGGGAGAGTGGGGCACATTCGTGCATGGGGCACATTCGTTTTTTGCAGTTAATGGGAAGACGAGTGACTGCACGAGCTAAAGGTAAATTATGAAAATATGTCTATCATTGCCGCCCTTCGCTCAGCGTAGAAGATAACACTGTACCTGCTGTCATGCTGGATAAAAACGCAAATTTGTAATATTCGTGCGCTTTCCAAACTTTCTCATATCATCCATTTTCGTGATCCTGACTCGGAAATGTGGGTAAACTTTTCAAAATTGAGGGCGAAGAATCGCACTTTATTCACGGAACTGCTGCAAACTTGTTTGTTGAAAAACTGTCATTTTTTTAATAAGAAATTTTGAAATATTTTACAAATAACGTTGTGGGGCAGGTTCGTGTACGCACTGCCTAGGGGCACATTCCTCCATATTTTTTTCGTTTTTGCGATTTATGACTTTATCTGTA